TACACGGAATAGATAATTCACCAGTAGTTGACTTACTCTCACCCCCAATGGCAGCTTGTATGTTGAAGCTTTCTCTGTTGTGTTGGAGAGTTACCACTCATCCACCTACTATTATCTTTTTAAAAAATGTAAATCTCTCCTCTGCTGTTGTCCTCTCTCCATTTTTTGTCCTTGTGGAGGTATGTCCTTGTTATTTCTCTACTTTTTATTCTCCTATGAAATCCATAAGTCTCCAGATATACTTATTTATTCTTTTATTCATTCCAATTGGGGGGTACCCCATCATGCAAATCTATTTTCAATAAACTAAACACTCACATATTGTCTCCGAATCCAATGGACATGCCCCAGGCCATATCTTACTTGATCTCTCTGCAAAAATCAGTTCAGCTAACTACCATATTTTTCCAGAGCCTCTCTATTCTCCTGACTTACTTGATTCACTTTTTAGAGTTTTATTTCTACCTTACTGGCTGCTCCTTCTCAGTCTCATTCATTAGCCTACGTGACATCTGAATGATGGAGTAGCCAGAGCTTGGTCCAGAGCCCTCTTCTCCAACTATACTCTCCCAGACAAGTGATCTCAGTCAGCCTCATGGCTTCAAATACAATGTCTATTTAAATTACTTCCAGTTTTACATCTATTGTTTTGATCTCTCCTCTGAGAACTAAGTGCAGGTTTCTAACTGCCAACAAACAGCCTCCTGGATATCTAATGGGCACGAAAAGTTCAAAATCTCTAATATTTCCAATCTTCACTTTATCCCTATTCATTCAGGTAAATAGAACTAACTTCCAACTCCTTGTGTAAGCCCCAAAGCTTGAAGCTGTTCTTGACTTCTTTTCCTGCCATCCACCACATGCAGTTTTTCAACACTCCCTATTGGTTCTACTTTTCTAATTTCAAGACATAGTTTGCATTCATCCACTGAAATTTATCTCCACTGCTACCATCCTAGTCCAAGCAATAGTTAATGCTCTTAACCAATTTTCTGTTTTCACTCTTGCCCTCTTACATTCCACTTTTCACACAGGCTGAGTGTGATCTTTAAAAAACATAAATTTTTTTTTTCTGCTTTCTCTTTCCTTCCTGCATGATTAAACCCCAGGTCATTAGGTGAGGCAGAGCAAAGCAGGTATCAGGATAGGAGGGGAGACAGCCGTGGCCCGTAGAAGAATATAAGAAACTAAACTGGGGCTGGACACCGTGGCTCATGCCTGTAATTCCAACACTCTGGGAGGCTGAGGCGGGCAGATCACGAGGTCAGGATTTCAAGACCAGCATGGCCAACATGGAAAAACCCTGTCTCTACTAAAAATACAAAAATTAGTCGAGTGTCGTGGTGTGCGCCTATGATCCCAGCTACTTAGGAGGCTGAGGCAGGAGAATCACTTGAACCTGGGAGGAGGAAGTTGCAGTGAGCTGAGATCAAACCACTGCACTCCAGCCTGGGTGACGGAGCAAGACTTCGTCAGAAAAGAAAGAAAGAGAGAAAGAGAGAAGGAAAGGAAGGAAGGAAGGAAAGAAGAAAGGAAGGAAGGAAGGAAGGGAGGGAAGGAGGGAGGGAGGGAGGGAGGGAGGGAGGGAGGGAGGGAGGGAGGGAGGGAGGGAAACTAAATTGGGTGAGGAGGACTTTCCCATAGAGTGTTGTCAGAATCTTGTGAGGGTGAGAGGGATTATGGCGTGGAGGGAGTATGGTCCCACATGAAGGGCTGAAAATAAATGAATAGAACATCAGTGATTCGTGAGACAACATTTTGCCTACAATATGTGTTATTGAAGTTCCAGAAAACAAAGGGAACAAAAAACATGTTTAAAGAAATAGTAGCTGTAAAAAATTGAATTTGATGAAAACTATAAACTCACAAATCCCAAGAACTCAACAAATATCAAGCAAAATAAACTTAAAAAAATCACACAAAAGTATAACATAATCAAATAACTAAAAATCAGTGATAAATGGTATATCCTAGAACCAGATAGAAAAAAAAGACACATTATATAGACAGGAGCAAAGACAAGCAGGATAACAGACTTCCTGTGAAAAGCCATGGCAACCAGAAGAGAAAGCAGCAACATCACTAAAATGCTGAAGGAAAAGATACTCTGTCAGCCTAGAATTACAGAGTAAAAAATTCTCAATATGAAGATGAAATGAAGGCTCTTCTCAGGCAAGCTAAAACTAAAAGTCCACCTCCTGGAGACTGACACTTCTTTTAAACGTAAAAGAAAGTTCTTCAGGAAGAAAAAATTTAGATCTATGCAAAATAATAAAGGAAGTGTGCTGGAAACGATAAATATGTGGGTAAAAAATAAAAAATATTTTTTCATTTAAATTCTTCTCAAAAGATAATATACGTAAATATCAACGAATTATGAGGCTTCTAACACATGTAGACATAAAATGTATGACAACAGTGGCACAAGGAATAGCTGAGGGAAATGGAAGTAAACCGTGGTAAGACTCTCATGCCCTTACGTGAAGAGGTATGAGATCACCAGGAGGTAGACAGTGATACATTAAAGACGTATATCGTAAATCCTAAGGCAATGGCACACAAATAATAATGATATTTAATAAGCTAATAGTGAAAATAAAATGGGGTCATAAAAAAGACTCAGGGCCAGGCACCGTGGCTCACGCCTGTAATCTCAGCACTTTGGGAGGCGGAGGCAGGTGGACCACTTGAGACCAGGAGTTAGAAACCAGCCTGGCCGACATGGTGAAACCCTGTCTCTACTAAAAATACAAAAATTAGCCCAGCGTGGTGGCGCATGCCTGTGGTTCCAGCTACTCTGGAGGCTGAGGCAGGAGAGGTGGAGGTTGCAGTGAGCCAAGATCGCACCACCACACTCCAGCCTGGGTGACAGAACGAGACTCTCTCTGTCTTAGAAACTGGTTTCTAACTGCCAACAAACAGTCTCCTGGACCTCTAATGAGCACAATAATTTCAAAAAAAAAAAAAAAAAAAAAACTTGGTTAATTAAGAAAAAAAGTAGGGGAAAAAAGGAGGAAAAGGAAAGAAGACCAGATGGGAAAAATAGAAAACAAATATCAAGACTATTAAACTAGGGGCCAGCCACAGCGGTTCACACTTGTAATTCCAGCACTTCATGGGGCTGAGGCAGGAAGATTGCTGGAACCCAGGAGTTCGAGACAAGCCCAGGCAGCATAGGGAGACCACATCTTTACAAAAAAGAAAAATTAAAAAATAATTAGCCAGGCATCATGGCTCATGCCTGTGGTACCAGAGAGTTGGGAGGCTGAAGCAGGAGGATTGCTGGAGCTTTGAAAGTCAAGGCTGCAGTGAGCCATGATTGTGCCCCTGCATTCCAGCCTGGGTGACAGAGCAAGACTCTGTCTCTAAAAAAGAATTAGACCCAATATATTGATAATTACATTAAATGTACATGGTCCAGGCCCCCAATTAAAAGGCAGAGATTGACACATTGGTTAAAACAGAAAACTCCAATTAAATAATCAACCAAGAAATACATTTGAACTAACTATAACTACAAATATGGTAAAAAAAAAAAAGGGGGGGGGTAAAAATAAGAGGAAGAAAGATATGGCCATAACTATATGTTAGCCATGCTAACATCAATTCTATTTTTAAAAAATGGAGTGACTATTTCAATATCAAACAAAATAGGCTTGAGAGGTATATTATTAGAAATAAACAAGGACACTTTATAATTATAATCATAACACAATGCTTATTAACCACAAGGAAAGAAAAACCAGCCTGAATATACCTTCTTAATCAGGTAATCCAAGAGAATATCATCAATCATGGGACATATTGATATTATCTGTCACCTGAGAGTATGCAGAGAGAAGAATACAACATCACTTCAATGGTATTCTTGGCAAAGATTAATAACATGAACCTAATCATGATGAAAAATTACAAAAACTCAATATAAGGAAAATTCTACAACATAACTGGCCTGTAATCTCCAAAGGTTCGAAGTTATGAAGAGCAAAGGAAGAATGAGGAACTGCACCAGACTGAAGAAGACTAAAGAGGCAAGACAACGGAAGGCAACACAAGATCCTGAATTGAGCTGCTTACTATTGCAGACATTATTAGGACAGCTAGCAAAACTTGAAAGGGATCTAAAGATCAGGCGGCAGCAATATATTCACGTGAATTTCTTGATCTCGACGGTTGTGTTATGGTTGTGTATGAGAATAGATAAAGTATTGGAGGATAATGAGATATCAGGTTACCAAGTAACTCCCAGATGATTCAGGGAAAAGGGCTCTTTGTGTTACACTTGTTACAAAAGAATCTGTGATTTTTTTTTTCAAAATAAAAACAAAAACAATCAATCAGAGTATGTTATTCCAGTGGGTCCTCATTTGAGATGAAATTTAACCTTTCTACTATGGTATTTTGCTAAACTCTGAGCAAACCTCGGTCAGCAAAGAAATGTGAGCTTATGTTCTAGCAAGGAAGAGAGATGAAAATATAGACAATATAAATACATGTTGGGTTATGTGCTGTTAGAAAAGCATGGGTCCTGCTTCAGAAATGAGAGTTAGAAAAGGTCTCTCTACAGCCTTGCTTTCTCCTTCAGGAACTACATTCCAGCCATCCTGGTCTTTGAGTTATTCATGGATCCCATCAAGCTCATTAACAACCCAGGGTGTTTATGCTTATGCTGTAGATCTATGCTGTCCTTCTCCCGGCCTTTCAAATGGCTGCCTTCTTATCCTTCTTATCAGCTCTCAGTTCCTATGTCAATTCCTCAGAGGGACCTTTTCTGACTGTAGTATGGAAAGCAGCACCCCTGCTTTCTTTAACAGCACTTAAGCCAATGTGTATTTGTATTTTTTATGTTGTATTACTCTTCTTTACTAAATTATAAGCCCATATCTCTTTTGCTGACAAGAGTATGCCCAGAGTTTAGTAAAATACCAGGTATCTTAAGCCCTCAATATCTGAATAAATAAATGAGTAAGCATACTGAGTATATATTAAAGTAACACTAGACTCTAAACCTGCAAATCATCCTTAATCCATTCCCACCACCTTATTTGTCCTCCACCGCAGGCTCTGAGAATACCACAGCCTTCACCAAAGGCTCTGACACCACTAGAGTCTCCATCACAGGCTCTGAGACCACCATGGCCTCCACCATGACCTCCACCATGGCCTCTACTGTGGCCTTAACTACAGACTCAGACTCTAAGATCACCACAGACTCCACCACAGGCTTTGAGACAACGTCGGCCTCCACCATGGCTTCTACTGTGGCCTTCACCACAGGCTCTGAGATTGCCACCACCTCCACTGCAGGCTCCGAGGCCACAAAAATCTCTACCACAGGCTCTGAGACCACCACATCATTTACTGCAGGTTCTGAGACCACCAGCACCTCCACCTCCATGTCAGGCTCTGAGAATACCACAACTTCGGCTGCAGACTCTGATAGGATCACGGCATCCAGCATGAGCTCTGAGACCACTTTGGCCCCCACTGCAGCCTCTAACACCAGCACAGCCTCAACAACAGGCTCTGAGACCACTACAGTCCCAATCAAAACCTCTGAGACCACCACAGCCTCTACAGCAGGTTCTGAGACCAACACTTCCTCCACCACAGGCTCTCAGACCACCGTAGTCTCTATTTCAAGTTCTGAGATCACCACCACCTCCACAGCAGGATCTGAGACTACCAGAGTCTCCACAGTAAGCCCTGAGACCACCACAGTCTCTAGTGCAGGCTCTGAGACCACCACAGCTTCTACGGCAGGCTCTGAAACCACCACCATGTCCACTGCAGGCTATGAGACCACTACAGTCTCTACCACAGGCAGTGGGACTACCACAGTCTCCACCATGGGCTATGAGACCACCACAACCTCTCCTACAAGCTCTGAAACCACCACAGCTTCTACTTCAGTCTCTGAGACCACCATCACCTCCACTGCAGGCTCTGAGATCACCACAACCTCTACTGCAGGCTCTGAGACCACCACGGCATCCACCATGGGCTCTGAGACCACTATGGCCTCTACCATAGACTCTGAGACCACCAAGGTCTCCACTGCAAGCTCTGAGATGATCACGGTCTTTGCTATAGGCTCTGAGACCACCATGGCCTCTACCACAGGCTCTGAAACCGTCACAGCTTCCACTGCAGGCTCTGAGACCACCCCAGCTTCCACCACAGGCTCTAAAACCACTATGATCTCTAACACAGGCTCTGAGACCTCCACAGCCTCCATCATGAGCTCTGAGACCACCACATATTCTACCACAGGCTCTGAGACAACCACAGCCTCCATTGCAGATTCTGAGATGACTGCAACCTCTACTACAGGCTCTGAGATCACCACAGCCTCTATTACAAGCTCTGAGACCACTATAGTATCCACCATGGGCTCTAAGACCACTATGGCTTCTGCGATAGGCTCTGAGACCACCAAGGCCTCCACTGCAAGCTCTGAGACAACCACAGTCTTCACTGAAGTCTCTGAGACCACCACAGTCTCAACCACAGGCTCTGAGACCACCACAGGCTCTGAAACCATCATAGCCTCTACTGCAGGCTTAGAGACCACCACAGTCACTACCACAGGCTCTGAGACCACCACAACCTCTACCGAAGGCTCCGAGATGACCACAGCCTCTACCGCAGGATCCGAGACCACCACAGCCTCTACCGCAGGATCCGAGACCACCACAGCCTCTACCGCAGGATCCGAGACCACCACAGCCTCTACCGCAGGATCCGAGACCACCACAGCCTCTACCGCAGGATCCGAGACCACCACAGCCTCTACCGCAGGATCCGAGACCACCACAGCCTCTACCGCAGGATCCGAGACCACCACAGCCTCTACCGCAGGATCCGAGACCACCACAGCCTCTACCGCAGGCTCAGAGACCACCACAGTCTCTACAGCAGGCCCTGGGATCACCACAGCCTCTACTGCAGGCTCAGAGACCACCACAGCCTCTACCGCAGGATCCGAGACCACCACAGCCTCTACCGCAGGATCCGAGACCACCACAGCCTCTACCGCAGGATCCGAGACCACCACAGCCTCTACCGCAGGCTCAGAGACCACCACAGTCTCTACAGCAGGCCCTGGGATCACCACAGCCTCTACTGCAGGCTCAGAGACCACCACAGCCTCTACAGCAGGCTCTGGGATCACCACAGCCTCTACTGCAGGCTCAGAGACCACCACAGTCTCTACAGCAGGCTCCGGGATCACCACAGCCTCTACCGCAGGATCCGAGACCACCACAGCCTCTACCACAGGATCCGAGACCACCACAGCCTCTACAGCAGGCTCTGAGACGACCACAGCCTCTACCGCAGGCTCTGAGACCACCACAGCCTCTACTGGAGGCTCAAAGACCACCACAGTCACTACCACAGGATCCGAGACCACCACAGCCTCTACTGCAGGTTCTGAGACCACCACAGCCTCTACTGCAGGATCTGAGACCACCACAGCCTCTACCACAGGCTCAGAGACCACCACAGTCACTACCGCAGGATCCGAGACCACCACAGCCTCTACTTCAGGCTCAGAGACCATTACAGTCACTACCACAGGCTCTGAGACCACCACAACCTCTACTGAAGGTTCTGAGATGACCACAGCCTGTACCACAGGATCCGAGATCACCACAGCCTCTATTCAAGGGTCTGAGACCACCATAGTCTCTACCTCAGGCTCTGAGACCACCACAGCCTCTACTGAAGGCTCTGAGACCACCACAGCCTCTACTGAAGGCTCTGAGACCACTATGGTTTCTACTGCAGGCTCTGAGATCACCACAGCCTCTACTGAAGGCTCTGAGACCACTACTGTCATTACCATGGGCTCTGAGACCACCACAGACCTCACTGCAGGCTCTGAGACCACCACAGCCTCTACTGAAGGCTCTGAGACCACTACTGTCATTACCATGGGCTCTGAGACCACCACAGCCTCTACTGAAGGCTCTGAGACCACCACAGCCTCTACTGAAGGCTCTGAGACCACTACTGTCATTACCATGGGCTCTGAGACCACCATAGACCTCACTGCAGGCTCTGAGACCACCACAGCCTCTACTGAAGGCTCTGAGACCACTACAGTCACTATCACAGGCTCTGAGACCACTATGGTCTCTACCACAGGCTCTGAGTCTACCACCACCTCTACAGAAGGCTCAGAGACCACTACAGTAACTACCACAGGCTCTGAGACCACCACAGCCTCTACCACAGGCTCAGAGATCACCACCACCTCTGGTAAAGGCTCTGGGAACACTACAGTCTCTACCACAGGCTCTGACACCACTATACCCTCTACTGAAGGCTCTGAGGCCACAACCACCTCTACTGAAGGCTCTGTGACCACCACAGCCTCCACTGCAGGCTCTGGGACCACCACAGCCTCTACTTCAGGCTCTGAGACCACCACAGCCTGTGCTACAGGTTCTGAGACCTCCATACCCCCAAGGGCAGGCTCTGAGACCAACATTGGCTTCATCATAGGCTCTGAGACCACCATGCTTTCTACTACAAGCTTTGAGCCCACTGCAACTTTCTTCACAGGCTCTGAGACCACCACAGTCCCTAGCACATCTTCTGCAGCCACTGCAGCCTCCACCACTGTCTCGGCCACCACTTTTATACCCACCAAGGCCACTGATGTTTCTACTCAGCGCATCGCCAACATGGCTGTGTCAGGTACTAACCCCCATGTCTTCTTTGAGCCCACACGTTTTAACTCTGGCGGCAACCACCAGCTGTTCACCTCTTTCTGTCATCTCTGCCCTGGTTTGAGTCAGGCCAGCACACGGCCAGGTAAAATTTCCTCTCTGGAATCCTAATTGCCTCTACTCTGGTCTCACCTCTTTTTTTTAACTGCCCACCACTTCCATTGTAATCAGAACCACAATGTAATGAAACACAAGCACATTATATCTGTTGCATCTTCCTCAGGCAAGCCCACCTCAACTCCACTGCCCCATCACAGTGTGTGAAATGCTCTCTGCATCTCTATTCAACCCACAGTAGAGGCCACCACAGTCTCTACTGCAGACTCAGAGACCACTACAGTCACTACCACGAGCTCTGAAACCACCACAGCCTCTCCTGCAGGTTCAGAGATCACCACCATCTCTACGGAAGGCTCTAAGATTACTACAGTCTCCACCAGAGGCTCTGAGACCACCACAGTCTCTATGGAAGGCTGTGAGACCACCACAGTTTCTTCTACAGTCTCAGAGACCACTACAGTCATTACCACGAGCTCTGAAACCACCACAGCCTCTACCACAGGCTCTGAGACCACTACAGCCCTCACTGCAGGCTCAGAGATCACCACTATTCAACCCACCATTTGTGACACTACCACCTCCTACCAATATATTGACCCTAGTCCCGAGGCTGGCAGACCACATTTCATGGGTCAAGTCTCCCCTGTGACCTGGTTTTGTAGTTTTATTGGAGCATAGTCATGCCCACTCACTTACATTTTGTCTCCAGCTGCTTTTCTGCTTTTCAGAGTATTTGCAACAGAGACTGCATGGCCCAGAAGCCTAAAGTATTTGCCGTCTGGGCCTTTATAGAAAACATGTGACAACCTTTGCTCCAGTATGAGACCAAACAATTTTATTCACTCTCTGGCACTTGTCATCAGCAAGGTGGTTGCATCTGATTCTATCCTCTTGGTTTTGAGCACACTCACGTCTGTTCTGGTGACGGGCACTGTTTGTGATCACATTTTAACCGCTTCTGACCTAAGCACACCCATTGCTACCTAAGCTGCCACCACCACCTCTGCCGTGCTGACTCTGCTCGCACCTGTCGGAGCCCACCCTCTCCTGTCCCTGTGTCAGATTCTCCCACATCTGCCCAAGCACACATACCTCCCCTGTGTGTCGCTGTGCGGTAGATGAAGTCACCTCTGTCCCAGCCATGACCACTGCCACACCCATGAGTCAATCCGATTCTGTCATGTCCTCCTCCAGCAGCCTCCTTGCTCCCAGTGATTAGTCACAAGAGAAGCAGGGCCCGCCACTTTGTATACCAGCCCGCCCACTTGTTTGATTTAATTTGATTTATTTTTAATTTTTTTCCATAGGGTATTGGGGTACAGGTGGTATTTGGTTACAGGAGTAAGTTCTTTAGTGGTGATTTGTGATATTTTGGTGCACCCGTCATCACCCGAGCAGGTTACACTGCACCATATTTGAAGTCTTCTATCCTTCGCCCCCTCACTCTTCCCTCAAAGTCCCCAAAGTCTGTTGCATTCTTATGTCTCCGCATTTTCAGAGCTTAGCTCATACATAGCAGTGAGAACATACAATGTTCGGTTTTCCATTCCTGAGTTACTTCACTTAGAATAATAGGCTCCAATCCCAGCCAGGTCACTGCATATGCTGTTAATTCATTTCTTTATATCAGGCCACCCACTTCTGTTTGGGTGGCTGCTTCTGAAGTCAAATAGATCTTCCACCTCTGAACCCATCATGGGCACATTTCCCCAACCTTCTGCCTCCTCCATCACCAACCCCACCAGGTGACAGACACATTCTACCTCCTCCTCTGTATGACACCCACCTCTATTCTGGGGACATGGCCACAGCAGAATCTCTTTCTACCATCTCTTCTCCCCGCCCCACCCCTCTCCTGAGCCACCTCCACCATAGGTTTGTTAGGTTCACCCCCCTCTGCTCTAAGCACCCCCATTCCCCTTTAATCATCTCTGCTACAAATGCATCATCTTGTGTGACCTGTTTTATAGGCACCAGGATCACTGGAACCAGACCCACTGCCTCCAGCTCTGTGACCATGGCCCCTGGAATGGAGTCCACAGCCTCTGCTACCAGCCATGCTGTGCCAGGAATAGTCCCAAACACCTCTGGCCTGGGTACACCTACAATGGGAGCATCATCTACCACCTCAGTCCCCAGCGTCAGGACCACCCCAGGATCCACTCGTGAGCCAACCAGCACCACCGCCCAGGAAACAGGCCCCGTGTCCAGGGTCACAAACACAGTTAGCATGAGCCACATGCCCACAAATGTGATCAAACCAGGTGGATATTTACAGCCCTGGGCTATCATCCTCATTTCCCTTGCTGCAGTCGTGGCTGGTGTCGGATTGTCAGTAGGACTGAGTTTTTGCCTGGTGAGTACCCAGCGTGGGTTTGTAGGGGAGCCTGGCGAGAAGAATGGTCTGAATGGTGGGGGTAATCATGTCAGCAGTGCTTTGGAGAAATCCAGAATGAGAGAGGGGAGTAAGTTGGTGCGCTCAGAAGAAAAGAATCACCTAGCCTGATATAAGGACCAGAAAGAATCTGTACGTCAGAGAAAGTGAGATGAAAGTAGAAAAAGAGGAGGGAAAAGGTGGAGTTGGAGCCAAAGTGAAGGGAAATCATGTGAAAGGTGGGAAAAGAAAAGAAGGTACTTAAAGAAAATCACGTCTCTTCATAATACAATATCTGAAAGTTAGATTATTTTTGCTCTGGAAGAAGGATGTTTAGGAAGTGAGCGGTCTGTGAGCTAAATTCCAATTTTAGCGCTTGCTGTCTGTGAGACTCTCTTCTCCTTTGATACTTCTTTGCATAGTTAAAGATGAATACTGGCTGGGCGAGGTGGCTCAAGCCTGTAATCCCAGCACTTTGGGAGGCCAAGGCGGGCAGATCACGATGTCAGGAGTTCAAGACCAGTCTGACTAACATGGTGAAACACTGTCTCTACTAAAAATACAAAAATTAGCTGGACACAGTGGCAGGCACCTGTACTCCCAGCTACTTGGGAGGCTGAGGCAGGAGAATGGCTTGAACCCAGAAGGTGGAGGTTACAGTTAGCCAAGTTAGTGTCATTGCACTCCAGCCTGGGAAAAAGATCGAAACTCTGTCTCAAAAAAAAAAAAAAAAGATGAAGGCCTTTTGCATTCTACTCAGATCAGTTGATAGACCAGAAATACCAAGAGGTTTCATTAACTACTGAGAGAGAACAAGAAGGACATTATTATAAAGAAAGCAAAAAGCAGCTGGGTGCGGTGGCTCACGCCTGTAATCCCAATACTTAGAGAGGCCAAGGTGGGTGGATCACTTGCATCCAGGCGTTTCAGACCAGCCTGGCCAACATGGTGAAAGTGGTCTCTACTAGAAATACAAAAATTAGCTGGGCATGGTGGCACATGCCAATTCCACATGCCTGTCCTCAGTTTCCTTAGCTGACCTAACAGAGAGAAAGCTGTCTTTCAAGTGTGTCTCTGTGCCTTTCACATGGGGTATGGATTTACCTTTGTCTTGAAAGTCCAAAAACACATAACCTTATGACCTGCAGAGCGAGGCCTGAGTATTCACAGAAAGAGGATATGTTAATAAGATAATAGGGAACTTTATTGTCTCAGAGAGAGAAAAAGTAAAAGAACAAGGAGAAAGAGAGACAGAGACACAGGTCATAGTAAGGATGGCGGTAAAAAAGAGAAAACGGGCAGTGCGGAAAAGTGAAAATCTGACACTGAGAAACAGGCATGTATGGTGATTAGGGAGAGGACATTTAATTTTCATTGACCAATATATGCATTTTTTTCTTTTAGAGAGAACTTTGCTTCCCCCTGAGAAACAGTGGTATTTATTATCCCCATGGCCACAGCCTGGGCCATGGTCTGGACCTAAATTTGGGCCTGGGCTCTGGGACATTCCACAGCCTGGGAGATGCACTGGCTTATGGAGGAGAGCTTGAGATGGGACATGGAGGAGCGCATGGCTTTGGACAAGGAGTGTGCCATGAACTGAGCCACATCCATGGGGACGACTGTGGAGGAAATCATGGCAGGCATTATGGATATGGAGGAAGCCACAGAGTGGGTCACAGAGGAAGCCACCAAGGACGCCATGGCAGGACAAGATGGCTGTGGCCATAGATTGGATATCAAAAAATATTTTGGGTGGGAGGGGGTCATAGAGGAGAAAAAAATAATGATCATGGAATAATTAAAACGGGGCATAGGGAGGTTCCCAGGATGTGATCCATGGACATGGACATGGCTAGGTCAAGAAAAGAACCAGCAAAAGGACCACAGAGCCTTTAACTGGCTTGGCGATGACTTCGAATCAAAGGTTCTGTGAGTTTTTCCTGAATCTCAGCCTCTGTTGTGGGGAGTCCTGACAACCACCCTCAGGACATCTCTCCCATCTCCCACTACCTCAGGGTCAACGTTTCTCATCCCTGTGTTTCCTCATGGTGCTATAAATATTACCAGGACATGTCTAAGACGCTAAAGCACATATGAATGTTTTATCAGCGCCACGTGCTTATTTGTTTTCCTATTTGTTCTTTCATTTTTTTTTTGAGTGCTTATCACTATACCAGGAGTCTTTAAATATGTCATCATTTGGCTGGGCACAATGGCTTATGCCTGTAATCGCAGCACTTTGGGAGGCCGACGGGGGTGGATCACTTGAGGTCAGGAGTTTGAGACCAGCCTGGCCAACATGGTGAAACCCTGTCTCTACCAAAAATAAAATTACAAAAATTAGCCAAACATGGTGGCGAGTGCCTGTAATCCCAGCTACTCTGGAGGCTGAGGCAGGAGAATTGTTTAAATCCAGAGGGGAGGTTGCAGTGAGCCGAGATTGCACCACTGCACTCCAGCCTGGGTGACACGGAGACTCTGTCTCAAAAAAAAAAAAAAAAATTATAATTTAATCCCCAAAAAATCCTGGGAGAAAAATATCTTGAGGTAGGCAAAGATATTTAGATACTTAAGCAAGACACAAAAAGCACTAGCTATTAAAAGAACGTGTGATGATTTGGACTTCATTGAAGCCTATTATCAGCATATACCTTTAAGAGGTATATATATATATATATATATATATATATATAGAGGTATATTCTTAACTATAAAAAGAAAGTCAAAGATGGGAGAAGATATTGCAGCACGCATATCTAACAGATGACTCATATCTAGAATGCAGAAAGAACCACAATAAGAGAAAGATGATGCAATTTTAAAATGGGCAAAATATTTGGTAAATAGTTAACAAAAGAGAATATCAAAATGGTCAGTGAACATTTGAAAAGGTACTCAATATCACTGCTTATCAGAGAGAACTGGAATGTAAAACTGCAATGAGATATCACTACATACACACACCAATGAGATATCACTGCATACACACACCGTAATGACTAGCACTTAACCCACTGTCAATACCAAGAATTGGCAAGGACGTTGAACAACTGGAACTCCCACACATGCTTAGTTGGAGTGTAAACTGATACAATTATCTCGGGAAAATGTTTGGCAATGCTAAAATTAAACATACATACCCCATGACTTAGCACCTCTACTCCTGAGAGTAAATACCCAGCAGAAATGAATGCCTGTGTCCACTAAAAGACATCTACTTCATTCATACCAGTGCAGGGTGGAAATTTACCCCCAAAGTCCTCTAACACTAGAATGTGTAAGTAAATTGTGACATAATCTTACAGTGGAATGCTACCCAGTAGTTAAAAGAAAAAAAAAGCTATGAAATCATACAATAACATTAATGAATCTCATAATGAGTATATTAAGTAAAAGAATTCAAAACAAAAGAATACATGCTGTACAATTCCATTCACATGCAGTTCAAGAACGTGTGACATTAACCTGTTATAATAAAAGTCAGACTGGGTGCAATGGCTCACGCCTGTAATCTCAACACTTTGGGAGACCGAGTCAGGTGGATCACCTGAGGTCAGGAGTTTGAGATCAGCCTGGCCAACATGGTGAAACCCCGTCTCTATTAAAAATACAAAAATTAGCCAGGTGTGGTTACAGGTGAACAGAGCGAGACTCCATCTCAAAAAAAGTCAATCAATCAATAAAAAATAAAAATAAAGGTCAGAGTTGGGGATGCCTTTGGGGGAAAAGACTGACGGGGAGAAGGCATGAGAAAGCTTTCTTGCAGAGGCAGACAGGGGAAGCTGAGAATGTTCTATATATGATCTGGGTGGTGATTACAAGGGTGTATAGATATGTAAAACTTCATTAAAATGTGCACACGAGATCTGTGCACTTTATGGTATGTAAGTTATGCCTCAATTTGAAAAACGAAAAAGATATTCTGAGGCTATTTTCTCACAGTATTATGATTTCCTTGGTCAGAGAATGTGGTTGGAGACACATGATGATAAATGAGGCATTCGGTAAGCCCAAAGACAGTGGTGCTGCAGGAAGCATTGCGTGCAGGGGAGGCAAGTAGATGTTTTCAATGGGGACAAATCACCTCTCCCCTTAGGTTGAAAGCGGTCCAATGTAATTAATCTGCCGTTCTCTCTAGAGAAGGGTGCCATGTAGTGGGGCCAACACTGATCTGCGCCGTTAGCAGTTGAGGCCCTCAGCCATGGAGTATCTGTCCAGATTGGCCTTGGTGAGGAGAAGGTCAACTCACTGAGCCTTGCATATCTTTCATCCCTGCCACCATGTCTGCTGTGTCCATGTCCCTAATGAGCGAGCTCTAGAGCAGCTGGAAAAAGAGATTGACTGATATCCCCACAGAATGGATCACTCGGTCAACCTGATCATTGAAGATTTCCTCTGTAGTGAACACCCACTGGTGAACAATCACTTGGGACACACATACTCTCATCATCTGTACCCGTCCCAAGAGACTCATCCACCTTCCTCTTTCCCAGACTTCCTTGTCATCAATTCACCATATCTTTCCACACCCTGAGTTATCCAGCCCAACTGTTAGCCGCTGCGTATTGATTAGGGTAAACTGTAACTCTGGTCCAAAGTAAATAAAGCAGATACATTTTTTTGTTTTTGAGATGGAGTCTTACCCTGTTGCCCAGGCTGGAGTGCAGTGGCACGATCTTGACTCACTGCAACCTCTGCTTCCCAGGTTCAAGCAATTCTTCTGCCTCAGCCTCCTGAGTAGCTGGGATTACAGGTGTGCACCACCATGCCTGGCTAATTTTCTGTATCTTTAGTAGAGACGGGGTTTCACCATGTTGGCCAGGCTGGTCTCAAACTCCTGACCTCATGATCTGCACACCTCTGCCTCCCAAAGTGCTGGGATTACAGGCATGATTACAGGCTGGGATTACATGCTCAATCCTGCAGATGCAATCGTTACAATTCTGCTCACTGGGGGGATTTTCCTTCCCCACTGCCCTGCAGGGTTGCCCTTAGTGGGGTGGTAATGCTGCAGCAGCCCACGCTCTGTGGTGTTCGAAGAGCATGCAGAACCAACCACGCATCAGATGAAACCAAATCTTTCCTTTCTCAGTCAGCTGGACATAGGAAACTCTTCATGTGACTGTGATTATGGAGGGAGAGGTTAGAAATGTAGCTGGGGAAGATGCCATTGGAGTTACAGCTGCCTGCTCATGCCTCTTACTTGTGCCTTGAGGACCTAACTGGGCCAAATTCACAGGCACCACTTCCATTCAAGGAGGTGAGTACTGCTAAGTATGCCCAGTCTTGTTTGGCGGTGCAGACAACACCCAGTTCATAAAGGGCAGCTCATGTCTCATGAACTCTTACATACTGAGTATCCAAGATCAAGTCAGATGTGAGGATGTGGAGAAGAGGTCATGCCTTTGCTCCAAAGCTCTGGGACCTGCACTGTGCTTCTTCTGTTAGTACCCAGTGTCTCCATACAGACAATTTAGGCAGCAGTGGATTTATTCAGCAATGTCTTAAACAGCCTTATGGCCTTGCTTTCATTCCCACTTGAAAGTGGAGAAATATGCACAGACGGAGCCTAGAGATGAACTTGGAGTAAGACGTCATTTATGTTCTAACCCCCATAAGCTCACCCTGCCTTGTAGATTGCAATGATGTCTTGTATATTACCCTAAAGGTTTGGGTGTTTTCATTTCCCCATTGTACTGTCACCATGATAAATGGCTGAGATTCCTTTTGAAAACCTGGAGGAAGATTTACGGCATATCCTTGTAGTGGTGATGGATCTTGCTGCCTTCCTTTCATTTCTAGGTCTGCGAACAGGTTCAGACCTGGGAATTAGGTGAGAGTGTGAGACGTCCCACTGAGGCAACTCAAGTCAGTTCTCTGTTCAACCACCTAGATGTTTTCACTTATACAGATCACATAAGATTTTAGTGGGCTGAATAGATATTTCATTCCTAGTAATACCATGATTAATAAGCCCTAGCCAAAGATCCCTGACTATAGCTCTGGTCTTGATGCCCACATCAACAACCATGCCTGTCTTGTCTCTGGAGAGAAAGTCCTACCACCCACCTACTGTTTCCTAAAGATTCCACCAGGCCCACTGAAATCAGGAAGCCCATTTCAATGGTCAGATCATCCACCACTGCATTTAGCAAAGAGCTGCTACGGAGCTTTTCAGGGATGCTGGTCCTCTCCCTTCTAATGCCTTGATGAACACAGTTTCAATGGAACCTTCTGCGAGGACGTAATGAAGGAGTGGGTGAGCAAGTTGCACATATTAAATCCATTCCAACATAACTCTCTTCTTAAGTCTTTTGATTTTTTTCTTCCAATTATACTAATGAAACACTGGGATCTCAACTTCATTTAGTATAGACCACCAGCGAGTCCACATTTCAAGCCACCAAAGAACTGCTAGGGCGACTCACACCTACTTGAGCTAACACTGAGTCTAGCACATGATAAGCTCACCCACGTGTTTGCTTTCTATCAGTGATAACTTACTACGAATGTAGCTTAAAACAACACCCATTTATGAGACCACAGTTCTATGAGTCATGGGGGCCCATCTGAAGCCTGGCATCTCTTTCAAGCTCACGTGGTTGTGGCAGAGTCCAGTTCCCTGTGTTTAGAGTTGAGGACCCTGTTTCCGTGCTCACTGTCAGCGTGGTTGCTCTCAGCCCCTAGATGTGACTTGGTGCATGGAGCTGGAGGCCATGAGGGGCATTGCAATAGGGCATGTGGTAGGCAGAATAACGGCCCCTCAAAAACATTCACGTCCTACTTCCCAGAACCTGGAAATATGTTACTTTTTATGGCAAAACGGACTTTGCAGGCATAATTGCCTTAAGGATCTTGTAATGGAGAGATTATCCAGGATTATCTTTGTGGGACCAATGTGATCACAAAGGTCCTTATAAGAGGGAGACGGGAGTCAGAGAGAGATTTGAAGATGCTGCGATGCAGGGTTTGAAGATGGAGGAAGGGGCCGCAGACCAAGGAGTGCTGGAAGCCTCTAGCAGCTGCAAAAGGTCAGTCAACAGATTCTCCTCTAGAGCCTCCGGAAGGGCCACAGTCCAGCTGACATTTTGACTTTAGCCCAGTAAAACTGGTTTAAACTTCCGACCTCCAGAGCTGCAAGAGAATACATCTGTGTGTTTTCAGCCTGAATCTGTGGTAATTTGTCATAGAACAATAGGAAACTAATACAGGGCCTGAGGAAAAGCTACAGTCCCTTGCCAAGGGAGTGCTGTGAGGGCGTCACTACAGGGTCTTTAGCCCAGAGAAAGTGACTTCCTCACAAAGGGGAGGAGGGGCTACTTCTGCTGGCAAGGAAAGCTCTGTGGGATTTGGAAGTTCAAAGTTTTTCAAATTCATAGA